GACAAATACGAAGATCGCGATTGAAAAATTATTACATTTTGATGCCAATTTCTGACTTGAAAAATTCGTTGCAGGATTCTTGTATTTATTATTTAAAACATATTAAATAAATTGTAGTTATAAGGTCACAATGTTTATATCAATTTATTAATTAATTAGTAATTAACTAATTTAAAATATTAATTAAGATTATATTAATTAAGATATTCGTAAAGTTCTTGTGAAAGTTATTCACATAATTGCAGTTTATTTATACGGCATTTCGACGGATATTCGCCAATTCGTGTGAACCATCCTGAGCTCTGCTTACCAAAAATACGCGGTAATCGCGCGATAGTATTAGCATTTGCATACATGAAAACACTTTGGCGATGCTTTTGTTTTTTTGTTGTTTTACATTTACATTCAGCGTTAGGCCCACTGAATTGTTTAAATGCTTAAATAATTGAAAACATAAATTATGTGGATTAAATTCTCATATAATTTACAATGAAACTTCATAATGTACGGTATTTTATTTAAAAAAAACCCAGATTTTACATCTATAGACGTAAGTTGATTTAATATGTTGAATCATAATGGTATAGGCCTATACCTATTATATATTTCTATAAATTAATCAACAAATATCTCATTAATCACAATATCGCAAATAGGCCTATTGAAGTATTATTGAAGTATTATTATTTTTTTTTATTAAAGCATTATTCGAGCACCTTCATTATTATTATTATTATTAATATTATTATTATTATTATCTTATTATTTATCAACCATACTAACATTGAAAACATGAATTATGTGGATAAAATTATCATAGAAAATAAACTTACAATTTATAAGATTATTTTTTTTAAATAGCAGAATAAAATAGGTAACACCTTTATTTAAAAAAAACCAAAAAACCAGGTTTTCCATAGACGCAAGTTGATTTAATATATGCTGATTCATCTCATTAATTAAACAATTTTTATTCATTTCGAGCACTGTTATTATTATTATTATTATTATTATTATTATTAATAATACTATTTTATTTTTAAATTTTTGTTGTTTTATTTTTTGTTTTATGTATGGGCCTAGATATAGGCTACCGTATGTATATATTTAATAATTAGAAATAATTATAATTTAATTGTAAAACATATATATTATAATGTTAACATTATTATAGGCTAGGCTAGACCTAACCAATTATTGATACCATAATCTATAGATAAAAACATCCATTTGATAATTAAATAGCAGCTTTTTCGAGTGGCAGTGACGATAAAAAACAGCAGCGTTTTGGCACTGCGGCAGCGCCGATAGAAAACAGCGGCTTTTTGGCACTGCGGCAGTGCCGATAGAAAACAGCAGTTTTTTTGCAACTGCGGCAGTGCCGATAGCCTCAACCATCAAACTTAAGAACTGAATCATAACAGGCCCAAGAATGTGCACATGCGCCACAAATAAACTTGCGTTCACTTACGCTGTCGTATGTCGTATAACAACATTATCAAAGGTGAGGGCTAGCATAACGGTCCATTTCCCCATTATTATTAAGATCTTATTTCGACACACATGGATTATCCATATTGCATTACAATGTATATAGACAGGTAGACGGTCCCGTAGACCTAATAATTTAAAGTGCAAAAAGTAAAGATGAGAAAACTTGTGAAAGTTGGAAAGTCGGTTAAAAGCAGTGTTTTTCTTGATAGGCGGACTGCGGTACGACTCCCAACCTCGCTGTGCAAATCGCTTGTGTTCTTGGGCAAGGCACTTTATCTACGGTTGCCTCTCACCACCCAGGAGTACAAGTGGGTACCTGGTAGGTTCCAAAACCACTGCGCTGATTAATAGACCAATGCAATATTATGGAATTAATAGACCAATGCAATATCATGGAATTATAATTTAATTTAATTTGGTGTTCAATGTGTTCCATATGTGTTGATCATGACTGGGGTAGTAATGTGAAGCGCTTAGAGGTTTTGTAAAGGCATGAATCGCTATATAAGAACTACATATTATTATCACATTCTTCAAGAATAATCTTGAGACCAATTAAAAATTTAAATCTGAATTCTTCAAAGTTACATTTAAAGCCCAACATAGCATTTAATAATAATTTTGGCGAACGAGTTAAATTCATGTCAATAATTCTATATACAAATCTATGCATTGCAGATATTGGTGACCACCCCAGTTCGCCATAAAGGGCTGCCTGTGGTGTACAACGTGGGCCTTAAGGATATGCCTTATATATAATATAGCTAAGTTCGAAACTGTAACCCTCGATTCAGCCTCATCACTTTATGTACATATATGATATAAACAAATCGGTACTGTAAATAATATAAATAGTTCTCGAATATTATATAAATAAATATTAAAATCATTGTATAATAAAGAAAACGTTCACAATTTATTTATAATATAACAAACAATATGGCGGTTGCACGTACTGTAAATATAATATATGTATATAATTTTAATTTATGTATAATATTTATATATCGACGTATAAATGTCGACACATGATCCTATACGTTAAGCCTATTTATTTAACACATTCAGTCTTAATTTTGGATATCCGTTTTTGCATATGCCTATTTCCTGTTCAGAAATAAAAGCATACATACAATTATTTGATGACTCTTAGCTAAAGTGACTCAAGTTGTTATGGTAATGCCATTTCATCAGTAGGATTATCGCCATGAGTCGGGGAGTCTGGTTGTGTCTGGGTGAAAATCAGCTAAGAGTCATATTGAAAGGTTTCTACATTTAGTTATTGCTAAATAATATCCATTCCATTAATCGGTTGTGGATTGCCGGTGGCAGGAATGGAAACCGAGACCTACGTTCCGAAGGCTAGGTGCTAAATACAACGGGTTCAGCCGAGGGGCGTGGCTTGTCTGGTGACACGTCGTATACCGTCTACTTAAAACATCACACACTGTGTTTGACTGATGTGCGGGTCAATGTGACGTCAGCGAGCGGGCTGATGCTCAGTTTGTGCTGCTGCTGCTACTCCATAAATTGATAATATTCCAGGGATCCTAATTTTGGAAAGAAAATCACACAGGGATGTCAACTTATTTTTTCTTACATTGGTTGTACCATGGAGGAATAATTTGCTGTGTTTTGCTATGCTGTGTGATTACAGACAGTGCCCACTTTGTGTCGAGTCGAGGATGAACTATAAGTTATAACTGAATGACAAACTATAGCTAAAATTATGCATGACGTCAACATACGAAGCCACGCGCACTCGGCTGAACCCGTTGTATTTAGCAACTACCAATGCATGGGCCAGTACCTATAGTCGTGCGAAATAGATTCCTTTACCTATTGTTGGAGTAAGATGTATTGTCACATGCAAAATATCAAAAAAAAAAAACAATACTGATAATTTTGACTCTGGCAACATAAACATTACCAAGTTGAACATAGAAATTGGTATATTTAAAAAAAATGTTTACCCATAATTTTACAGCAAAAGATGATGGAAGTCACTGGAAGTGTTTTATTATAATTATCCAGTATAAAATCAGAATACACATTTTTAGAATGCAATAATTTCTTTGCTCAAGTTAATAATTTGTATGTTACTCCAAAATGACAAAGTTAATTTCAAAATTATATTTTTTAACATGTCAAGAAACACTATATCTTTAAGAATATTCTTAAGTTAGTTTCTTTAATAGGACAAAGATATTAGCCTGACATCCTAACTGGAAGGGTGAATCACGGGAAAGGACCCTGATAAGGAATGACAAAATTAACTCAATAAACTACAGTCTTGTAAAACAACTTGCAATTCATGAGAAGAATGTCCCTTCTCCTTTCACTTTGCTAAACAAAACATCCATAAGTCTGGTACATTTTAGGGAATTTTTGTGAAGCAGGATTTCTGTTGATTAATGTTTTTACTTCCGAGGCAATTTCTTTTGAGATTGATTAACTCCGAGATTTATGAAATGTTGACAATCTACTAGAATCAATATAGGCCTAGGCATTTTTTATATAATGCATATTATTTAAACCTCTTTGCATGTATGAGTTATTGTTGTTTTTTAATTTAGAGGTATTTTCTAACATGATTCCTAAACTATCTCCCGAACGAAACATTTAAGGTGTCTTGAGTTGCTTTACTAACTTCCTGCTTTGAAGTCACCCACTCATCGATTGAAATATCTTATTTCCGCTGTAAAGTGACAATCAACAGAGCCCTACTACATTACATTCTAACAATATTACATGCAGCTATTGTGATTTTTAGATGACAATATCGTAGGTCTAATTGTGTTCACATTACATTAGTCTGCAAATGGTACCGAATAAACTGTATCGGTTACACTTTTGTTATTGAGTTGTTTGTGAACGATAGGTTCCAAATACTCATTATTTCCCTGGTAGTTTTGAGTCCCTTCTTGCATTTTGCGAGGGTTCGTGTAAATTTGTAGTGTCGGGATGCTTTCTCCATTCGCCAAAATTTCATGGAATGACGGCCTAGCAATGGGTTCTAAATAGTCATCACATTTGATTGAGTCATATCTATGAATATCATTGTTGTATGTAATATAAAAATTTGTAATGCCATTAGCTTTGTTTGAGCTAAAGCTACCGTGTTCACTCCGTGGTATTGTTGTGGCATAGTGGTTAGAATGATCAGCATGTCCTTTCTTAAAGACCCACTTACATTTTCCATCTGCGTTCAGTCCTCTTCGTTGTTTACTTGAGCAAATACATCGAATAAGTATATATACAGACAATACTGAAATAGTAAATCCAACTGTTGCCGAGATAAACATCACCCAGAAGGAAGGAATATGGAAACCTTCTGTAGAGTCCGTCGAAATCTCAATATTTGTAGTTGTATTATGTTTATCTGATACGTTTATTTTCACCGTTTTCTTTGATCCGTCGTCCTGTGGCAACGGTGTTTTAAATGTCGTGGTGATTATTTTTCCTTCATCAGCTTGCGGTAACAGAGTTGTAGTAGTCCCATCGACAGGTGTCATATCAGTGATATTTTCTGCAACAACATTATATGAGGAGATTTCCAAAGTCTTGCTTGCTTTCCAAATTCCTTCTGTTGATCGTAATGAACAAGTAAATCCAAACCGGTCGTCATTTTCTTTGATATTAAAAAGTTTCAGAACGTGTGATCTCTCCTTATCCACAACCGCCCGAATTATAGGGTGAAGAAAATAAATAGGTATATTCCACGAAGTGTTGGAATACACACCTTGTATATCAGTACCTGTACAGCTAAGTGTTATATTTGATCCGACATATGCCGTGTCGGATTGTTGAATTTGCACCACTGGACTGAATAATGTCAACGTAACTGAACAGCTTCGTATGTTTCCATCAATTATTGATGTTTGTATGCAGGTAAAATTACTGTTGTGATCCCCCTTCTTCACCACATAATCGTAAAACACAGCTTTTGCAAAAGCAAAAGAGCTTAATATCGTACTATCTTTCGTCAGCGTCAACGTTCTTACGACTGTATTTGATGCACATTCAAGCGATACTATAGAACCTACCGTTACATGTTTATTATGTATAAAGCAGCGGGGATCACTCCGGTGACATAAAACCATTCGGTATGAGCTCCAAAACAAAAAACATAGGCCTAGAAACTTCATCACGACGCTCTAATAGCTTGCCTCAAATCCTACTAAAACAGGCCAGGGTGTCGGAAGAATAGCTAGCATCAGTATCACGAATTGAGTCTATATCCATAGATTCAAAGTGACTGATAGCTAGCGTTAGCTATAACTAACTCATCTTTTGTAACGTATTTCCTTCCTCTATAACAACACAACACGGCTAAGACAAAATAATGCATCAAGTTTAGGCAACGATAGATTAACATTCATCCAATCATGTTTTCGCATACACGAGCGCCTAGAATACAAGAATTTAGACTTTTATACGCATTGAGCTTACATTTCTCTGAAATATAATATCGTAATTTGAGTCTGGTATTTCGACAAGTTAAAACAACACATAGAAATTTTGTACAAAGCAATACAATAATTCCACAATATTTTTTAAAATTCTAAAAACTCTTTATTAATAAAATTTAAACCCGACAACAGAAATGAACGAAATTATCAAGTACATCGACCTGAAATAAATTTTAATAGTCTACAAATCTTAGCATACAATAATGGCGCCATCTTATTTTTTTACATTCTAAAAACCTCTCTTTAACATAAATTTAAAGCAGAGAGAAGAAATGAACGAAATTATTAAAGTACATCGACCTGTGGACGACGAGAGTTGCTAGTACCGGGTTACCGGGTAGTACAGACACGAAGGGACCCTTAGGGGCGAAGAAAGTCATTGATCGAGTTCCTAGTCCACATATCAAGCGCCCTGAGCATCTTACATTAGATGGATATGTGCGCTATATGAAACTACACTATTATTAATATTATTATTATTATTTAACTTTTCAAAACCATTGTATAATTACTTATTACAAATCATGCCCTAGTTGTTTGATCTCCTTTTTTTTCCTCCTTTTTTCGATTTATAACATAGATAAAAACACTCAATTTAAATGTCAATAATTACTATTTAGTGTTGTTGGTACGTTCATCCGGTCTTTAATATACAACGGTCTCCAAAATATTAATTAAAACATTGAATTACTTGTAGGATAAAAATATCATTTAATTCAATTACATATTTTATTCTATCAATGAACGCAAAACAGAGCATATTTCAACCTGAATAGCCTACTTTTTGCAATCAATCGTAGAGGAATTAGTTTCGATTAAGTAGCAGGGGCGGCGCCCTTTGCCCTCCTAGACCAGAGCCATAAATAGAAAGAGTTGCGACATTGATAATTTAGAAGCCATTTTGTGTCATACGCGATGCGCGTTCTGTGTCTAACGTGATGTGCGTTCCTGTGTATAATATTGTATAATACAGTTAGCGGCCTCCTGTATAGTTTAATTCCATTTAATCTTTTTAGCAGTCGGATTTCATGTAACTCTATTTGTAGATTTTTTTTTATGATTTCACTACTTTATATCCAATTTCATATTATAAATACTGTAATAATTTACTATTTTTGAACAGTTCTTTAATCCTCGCCGATAGACTGAGAGAGCCCTTCGATGGCAACCATTCTTCAATTAGTCAATCCTGCCATATAGACACTTAAGTAGCTCCTGTTATTTTTGCAAATAAATGATATGTAAGACCAGCAAAAATTAATTAAATATGTATATCAAAATGTAATTAAAATCCGTATATAGGGTATATAGATTGTTGCTCTTTAAAATGAGCGAGCCCTATACAAATCTTATGTTATTAATTTGATTATTATTATTTATAAATATTAAAATACTATAGGTCAGTTGGCTGCAATATATAAATTGTGCTTTGCTGTAAATGTTATAAATTGTAAGTGTTAAATGACATACAGGATCTGTGATATATTCAACTTGTGTAATTGTGTAACGTATATTATTGTATTAAAAGTTTCTGTTTTAATATTGTATTATGGCTGTACAGTATGTTACTTTTATGAACACATTGCAAGAGCGTGTCTGCTGTTCTACAACAGCTTGCACTACACCATGTAGATATCTACTACCACCAACATCTACCAGTACTTTTTTTTATTATTGTTAATTCGCCATGCAAACTCTTCAACAATAATAAACAAACTCTTCAACAATAATAAAACTGAATAAATACATAATAAAACAATTTCGAGTTTCAAAATGTGTAGATGGAAGAGAAGGAAAGTATGACACAAGTTGTGTTGTTCTAACAAGATGTGTTGATCTGCTGATTAAAAAACCCTTATGTCTTCAGTCTTCGTTAATTAAAATGTGACGAATTCACGATAAATGAAAAAATTCCAATTCATTCCGATAATTTACGCGAGCACGGAATTTACCCGAGCACGCACGCGCGCAAATATTCGATTATATATGAATTCTAATACGCTGTCCATACTAAGTGATGTTAATTATAAAATAATATAATTGTAAACACAATTAAGTGTGTGAAATTAATATGCAGTGTACGTAAGTCATGTACTTTGCATGTGTTCATCGGGAAGACCATGACACAAAATGGACGGTGTGTACCACGTGGCTTTCGCAAACCAAGGAGCGGAATGTCGCAACTCTTTATATATATGGCTCTGTCCCAGACCCCGCTAGGACTCCCTGTTGGGGAATTCAAGCGCCGAAAGTACAATTCAAGCATGCCTTACTAAATCTGTCAAATTTTGGGGATTAAAACTGGGAGCAGTGCTACAGTATGTGCAAGGTGTTGTATACTATTACGATCGTATGGGTTGCATGCGCCATCTCTTCCTCGACACGGGGCTGGTATCTCGGACAGGAGGACTAATACCCACAACATGGGACTCTTAACTTGCATGGTTTCCTATCAAATTATCCTTTTTAAGAACCCCATTAACACAAAATCTTATTAATTTTTAATATGAAAAAAATTCTCGACAAATATAATTGTTTCCCCGAACTGTGTGGGGGCTAGGTTTCCCTGACCATTCCGTCCAAACGTTCGGATGTGGATCCCCTTGTCCAGGAGCTTGGACCCCTTGTCGGGGAATTCCTGGCGCCGGCCCTGCTTAGTAGTCACTGCTTTACAGAATTTTACTAGAATAACATTATTTTTGCTTCTGAATTTTCGTTCAAATTTTCAAAGCATTATTGAGATTTAATGTTAAATTTATAAAACACCGTGATTATAACCGAATTTAATTGGTTGAAACAATGAAATAATTTGCTACTTTTCACTGACAATAAATAATTAAATAATTAAAAAAATCATGTATACAGGATTATTGATGCATTTAATGTTTTTCTCAGTATTGTAATGCTACGAATAAATACGTCATCATTACGTCATCAAATGCGTTTATAATAGGAAAAACATCGGCGGATGTATATGACATCATCTATAATTTGGTGATTAAACTCGAATTTGACATTAAACAGGTGAGTTCTGACTTGCAACAAAATAAATACAAAGTAAACTCTACCCTGAATCTGGTATTTTCTTCAAAAATTGCCTTTGTTGTGTTCAGAGTATTATTGTGGCCAGTCTTTTTCTCTTAGAATTGTATATCGGGTGGTCGAATTGGGTTTTGTTACTCTGAAACAATGTCGGGAAGTAATCGATATGTGTTTTTCCATTAAATTGTCCAATAGCCCAATTATTAACATGTTTGATTTCATCCTTAATGTATGAAAATAATACCCTACATTTTGTAATAGAAATCCACGATGCAACAAACTTGCTTATTTTTGTCATATAATTATTTTGCTGGAATTCCCTTCCTCTGCGTGTCCGTAATGGAAATTTTAATTTATTTAGGAAATATGTTAAGGAATCGTTCACATAACTTTCTAATCTTTTTTTCGTTGCGAGACTATCATTTTATATGTACTTAATTAATTAATTGATAAATAATAATAATAATAATAATAATAATAATAATCTCCCAAAATATGTTACTAATTAATTTATTTCAACTGCCACCCCACCACACTACGCTCCACTCCTCTCCAAATACGCACAGTACCTTGCCTAAACACTTTTTCTTTCAAAGAATTTTCACTTTTAGTATATGTTTTTGGGGGTTCTTTTTAAGAGTGGCCATTTTCAGATTTTGTAATCCGGATTTCATCAAAATTCAATGTCGGCCTGATTTTTACTACACAGAATTCAAGTAATATTATAGTATTTAAACATTTTATTTTCAATTTCAAAAAATGTAACAACCCACATACGCAGCCAGCACCTACTTCAAAAACATTAACCAGCCAACCGGCACCGAATTTTATTGTATTAGTTGTATACCTGCCAAATCCTTACTTCTGCATTTATCCATTTATCCATTTTTTAGATATTCAGGTCTGGGACATAATGGCCCTCAAATGCACACCCGAATTTGGATCGTCACTAACACTTCATAATTTCTTCCTTGTAACTTGGTTAAACTTTCACGAAAGTTTCATTAAGCTCAGTTGATTAGTTTTTAAAATATCTGGCCTGGTATGTTTTTTTTACGCCGGATTGTCACAAAATGTAATCTCCTCATCCTTGGGTCGTACCTAACAATCCATATAAGACAAGGGTGTCATGCTTGTCCTTTTTTACCTCTCTGCTGCATTTGACACAGTAGATCATTGCATTCTGGTTGAACGCGTCTTGAATCTGTTTATGGCATTACTGGGTGTGCCCTTGAATTGATTAAGACAGATCTATGCGGTAGAAGTAGAAGGGTTTCTATTTCTGGTTCATATTCTGCCCCATATCCCCTACTCTAGCGCTTAGAGACTTTTTAGCGCTTAGAGACTTTTTGTATTTTGCGCTCTATAAATTAATAACCATCAACCTCTATGGAGTGCCCCAAAGTTCAGTTATTGGCCGATGTTAATTCAGTCTCTACATTTGCCCACTCAGTGATATTATCAGGCATTATGGCATTCAATTCCACTTTTACGCCGATGATCTTCAACTTTATGTCACTTTTGACCCCAGCAATGCTAGCAGCACTGTCTCCATTTTTCAGACCTTATCCCTCTGTGTTGCTGATATTCAGCTGTGGTTGTTTGTTAGGAATAAACTGAAGCTGAACGAAAAAAAGACTGAGTTTTTGGTTTGTGCCTCTAAGAGTCTTTTTTCCCTGGATCATGTTAAAGATTTGTTGACAGGGGACAAGTCTGTTGACAGGGGACACCATTAGGCATATTCATCCTTCCGGAAGTTTAACACACACACACACACACACACACACACCCACACCCA